GACATGTTCTTCTGGGTATAAGAGAGTCAAGTGTATCTCTTGGCTGCCTCCTACTCTTTCCTGGTGTGCTGCTCCCAAGAATGCCCTGGCTGCCATTTTCACCTGGGGAGTCGCCAGGGGAAAGACCAGCTGCTCATATTTAGATTTTTGCAGCTATGGCTCCCATTTCCAGTCCTGGCTCCTTTCCCCTATTTTCTCTACACTCCAGGAGCGGATGTCAAGTATATATGCCCTGCTCCAGTCTTCCATCAGACACCACCCTTGGCTCATGCCCTATTTTGATACCATCTGCTTGGGGACATAGAGGATAATAATAAGAGCTTTTACTTATTGAGTGCCTGCTGTGAGCTAAGTATTTACATATCTAATTTCAAATTCTCACATGATCCTGCAAGGACAGTATTAAACCCATTTTTATAGATTTAGGAAGTGAAGCTCAGAATAGTGATGAAACCCCTTCAAGGTTATTTAATGGAGGATTTATATTTGGGACTTCCTCTGTGCCATCAGTGGAAGACACTTCTCTTTCCCTGGAAAACTATGTTAACATTTTCTTTGATTGACTCTGCACTTTCTGTAATAGCTGTCCCTGGAGAGCTGCTCTCCCACTCTCATCCCATGCTGGTGTCTTAAATTTCCCACAGTGATTTGGCCCTTATATTGCATTTTCTGGCTTCTTGTCTCTTAGATTCAACTGATATCTTAAAATATCTGATTAGTACTTAATAGTGTTGGCAGGTTAAAACCATATTTTAAAAATGAAAGTATATTTAGGCACTTAATTTTCTGAATCCATTCATTGAGAGTACATATTTTTTCTATGTTATACTGAGAAACTGGACAATGAAATGACCACCTGTTAGCTGCTAATGATGTTCACATGCCTTTAAAAAAGTAATTCTGGCTTTATCTGTCTACAGTCTTGGCGACAAAACTCGTGGGAACATGAAGGGCACAGGAAGCCAAAGGCAGCTAACTGGCAATAAAGTTTGTGCTTGGACTACTAATAAGGAAGGAGATACTGTGAATTGCTAATTCTACATAATTATTTCACCTCAGGAGAATGACATAAAACCGAATGCATTTTTTAAGACACTAAGTTTGGGTGTTCAAATCTAGGATAGATCAAAGGAGTTACACACAGCGTATTTCTTACTTGAAAAAAAATTTAAAAACACCAATATAAATATGCCTATTAATATTGCAAGTGTATAGTCTGATTTGATACTGTGTGGATGGGTCAGTCACTATGGCTTTCAAATGAAAATGAATACATAAATACTGTACACACTTAATTCCAAGTAATAGATGGCTATTAACTGTATCCTATATTGCAGAAAAATATACTAGCCCTAATGAGGGATTACAACTATAAATATGCACCAAAAAAGAAAAGAAGCATTTTCTAAAATTAAGGCTGGCATAAAGATTCAATGACCCTTTTGTTTTAATAGTGATATCAAAGTCCAAAGAAAATATCTCATTTTAATTATTTTGTTAATATGTTTTTTGGTCCCTGCTTCAGTTGACTGATTTCTATGGATCCTATTTTAATATAATTTTTTCCACCCAAATCCAAGGTTGATAAACTAACTTTTCTTTTCATTATAGTGTAATGGTAAAGGGCATAGGCTCTAATGTAAGACTGCTTAACTTTGAAATTTATCTCTATAACTTTTTTTTGTACAAGTTATCTTTATTCTCCATGCCTGTTTCCTCATCTATAAAATGTGATTAATGATATTAGCTACCTCATTGGATTGGTGGAATGATTAAGTCAGTATAAGACAAGCACTTAGAACAATGCCTGGTAAACAGTAAATGTCAGTATTTACTAGCAATTATTATTTTTGAACTACAAAGGAAATGGCGAATTTAATTACAATTAGGTACAGTTTGAATTAAATAGAGTAAATCATATGTGTCTCTGCCTTTGACTTTAGGCAGCCTCCAGTTTAATCCCAAAATAAACAAATAATTGTCTCTCTCAATTAAACATAAATTCTACCTAGAAGAAAACAGGCAGTACATTTTCAGAAATTTCTCATAGCAATATTTTCATAGATATATCTTCTTGGGCAAGGGAAACAAAGAAAAATAAACAAATTGAGACTATATTGAACTAAAAAGCTTTTGAAAAGCAACAGAAACCATCAATAAAATGAAAAGGGAACAAACCCACTAAATGAGAAAACATTTGCTAATGATATATCTGATAAGTGGTTAATTTCCAAAATATATGTGTAACTTATACTACTCAATATCAACAAGACAAACAACCCAATTGAAAATGGGCAAAAAACACGAATACACACTTCTCCAAGAAGTGGCCAATAGACATGTGAAAAAATGCTCAAGGTCACTAATCATCAGAGAAATGCAAATTAAACCTACAGTGAGTATCATCACCACATACCTGTCAGAATGGCTGTTACCAATATATCAACAAACAACAACTGCCAGTAAGGATGTGGAGGAAAAAAACTTGTGCATTGTTGGTGAGAATGCAGACTGGTACAGCCACTGTAGAAAACTGCAGTTTCCTCAAAAAATTAAAATTGGAACTGCTTTTTGACCCAGTGTTCCCACTTGGAATATATCTGAAGAAACCCAAACACTAATTTGAAAAAAATATATGCACCCTCCAATGTTCATTACAGCAGTATTTATAACACCTAAGATTTGGAAACAGTCCAAGTGCCATCAGAGGATGAGGGGATAAAAAAGCTGTGGGACATTTACATGATGGAATAATACATGGCTGTGAAAAAAAGAAGGAACTCTTACCCTTTGTAACAGCATGGGTGGACCCGGAAATTATTATGCTAAGTAAAATAAGCCAGTCTGAGAAAGACAAATACCACATGATCTCACTAATATGTGGAATCTAGTGAACAAAATAAACTGATGAACAAATAGAAACAGAGGCATGGATACATGGAACAGACTGACTGCCGCCAGAGGAGAGGAGTTGGGGGGCTGGATGAGAGAAGGTGAAGGAATTAAGCAAATACATACACACACATATTTATTTATTTATTTATATAAAACAGAAAGACACAGACAACAGTGTGGTGGTAGCCAGAGGCAAAGGGGAGGTTGGGGGTAGGTGAAGGTGGGCAAAGACAGGGGAAGGGGGTTGGAAAGAGACTTTGCTTGGGGCTGTGGGTGCACAGTGCCGTGAGCAGATGATTATTTGTTGAGTTATACAGTTGAAAACTGTATGGTTTTGTGAACCAATGTCACCTCAACACATTCAATAAAAACATAAAAACCATTTAAAATTTTAAAAAATTAAAATAAATTCTAAAGAGGAGGAAGTGGTATTCTGTCTATATGAATTTTAACTTCAGTATCATCCTTAAATATTTCATGTGACTATTACTGAACAAAGAATCTACTGCCTGAATGTTTCTCAAACATAGTTTTACAGACCTACATTTGTTCCCAGGCTCCAGGCTTTAGAAATGAGTGAGGTCTCCTCTCAAGTAGCAATTTTATCTGAGATTCCAGATCTACTGATCATTACCTCATCCATCCTTTATATATACTTCAAAATAGCTATATAATTAACAGAAACCATATGCTCACAATTTAATTCTAATTCCAAAATCTTATCTTACGTCTGATCCCACATGAAGTAAAAGTGGACAGTGACCAGGAGTTAAAGGGAAATGTTCAAATGACATAACTCCAAACTGTACCATCATGTGGAAGAATCTTTTTAGATGTAATGCTATCTCTCCAAAACATATTTGCAAAGCACTATGAAGTTGAAGACATTAACACTGACCATTTTAAACTGCAACTTAAAACAACTGGCTTACTAAATATGCATCTAGCAGTTACTGAAATTATGGAATAATTGTTAAAATAATGACTTAATTATAAATGGGTGAATCTACTTGAAGTTATGAAATTTCTATATTTTTAGGCTCCCAATTATTTAGCTTTGGAAGATATGTTATCACATATAAATGGCTTTCCTCTTTTTGTCATATGTGTATGAGTGTACATGTATGTTATATATATCTATATATGGTCTTTCCTAATGCACTCAAGTGTATGTGTGTGTGTGTATACACATATAGTCAGATAAAATATCTACTTATGTACATATGTAGATATTCTGTTAGCATCCCTTCTCTACTTACCGAGTTCTACCGAAATTCCAAAAGCTAGTCTGCAACTATACTGAATTTTGTTCAGAGAAAATGGCAGAAAAATGGTGAATTAGAAGACTGGAGTAGCTAGGTAGATGATCCAGAGAGTTACTATAATTTTTCAGACTTTGGGAGCTTGGTTTTCTCTGATTCCAAAGATATCTACTTCTTTCAGGAAGCTGAGACTCAAGCCAACTCTCTAAAGTAAGTGTGACTGACACCTTTTAATAAACCCCTTTTATGGAGGAAGAAGCAGGTTGGGAAAGGTTATAAGATATACTCAAGATCATGAAATAAGTGGCGAGATTGTTTCTTTTTATTCTAAACTCATTTCTCTTAGAGCTACATGTGACCTTAAGAACATCTGATTCACATCCCATATTTCTAAGCCTTTCTGGTGATCTGAAAGTATGGAATATTGCAGAGTCTGTTGGTTTAAGCTGGACCAACCACGGTGGTCCCTCACACTTTTCTAAAGTATGGCAATCAAACAGCCAGCATATCAAGGTTTGCAGACGCTTGACATCTCCCACTCTCACAATCAGTCACCAATCTGAGTGCTGTGTCTATCACTCAGAGCTTCAGATATTTGGTGTAAGTGAAGTCCACGACCTGGGAAAAGTAATTTTCTCAAAAGGCATTACCAACAATGATATGAGCAAAATGCCCAGGCTGCCCTCCAGTACGTGAATCCCTGGCCAGGAAGGCCATGAGTCTTCCATGAGTAGAATGAGTTTGGCTCAAGTCTCATTTTAATGCATTTATATTTCATAAGCACTGCATTTGGATGGAGTAAGTTAGCAAAATTCCAAATGAGCAAGTTAGAAAAATACTTACTTAAAGATTTTCTGTGCTCTGGTTTCTGTTCTTTTAGATCACTCTCATAGTGACTTAGTAGGTCAGTACTGGAGGATCTCTGGATTTTGAATAATTCCAGGTTTCTTGATGGACTACATGGATCTTTTGGCTGGAAATACCAAATAATTAGTCAGAAAAAATTTACAAGGAAGAGAGAATTCAAAAAAATAATTTTGGAATTTCTTTTGATGTTAGATTTAAAGGGACATCTAAAATAAGATAATTATTTTTGGAATGGGGCCTTTATGCTAAGCTTAACATTCAAAGTTAATAATAGTTATATATATATGGTGCTTATTAAATCCTGTGTACTACCCCAAGCATTCCACATGCTTATTCATCACAATGAGGTAGGTATTATTATTATTATTATTATTATTATTATTATTATTATTATTATCATCATCCTCATTTTCCAGACAAGGAAACTGAAGCCAAAAGCAGTAAGTCATTTGTCCAAGGCCACACAGGTAGTAAATGATAGACCCAGAATTCAAATGCAGGCAATTTGACCCCACAGTACACTTTTAATGACAATCTGCATGTGTATGCTTGTGAACATGTGCCTGTGTGCAGGGGGCACAAGAACTCACACCTGTGGAAAAAGCCTATATAGGAGATAGGTAAAAGTCAGTTTGTTCATTTATTTTTGAAAGTTTCAGTCCCAAAATCAAAATGATATAATAATGGAAGACTGAAATTAAAAAAATCAATAAAATCACACAGAAAATGTATTTTTCCTATTGTATATACCTTATTAAAAACAATCAAAACTATTTCTCAAGAATTTGCAAATATTAGTGTCCTAAAATTAGATGGTTGGTCTAAAATCAATATAAAATTAGTAGTTTTAAATAGTATGACTCTTTTAGAGACATACTCTGAATGTGTGATTTAGGGTAATTTCTTGAAGTCCTAGATATGTTGATTTTCATGAGAACGATCTAGCTTAACTGAAAAAACAATGAAAATAAGTACAAAGGATTATTTTTTACTGGTATTACAATGGGGAGTATGGGCTTAAATACATTGATATTTATTTCTAAGAATATGTATTACAGACTGCATAAACTGAAAATGTGAAAATTCAGTAGTTATTAAGTGCTTGTGTGGTTTTTATAGTCTCCAGTAGATGAATGTCCATGTTATTTCATTTTAAAAAATGAATGCACTGTGTTTATGAAAGAGCAAAATCAAATGACATTTAGTTCCACAAATCCTGTCTGCTGAAACATTTTTAGTGGACTCTATTTAAACTTAAAATAACTTAATATCTCTCAATCCACAGGACCCATTTAAATACTTGTAAGTTATATGCCTAAGCAATGAGATTTAATGACAGCATTTTAATTAATAAAGGTAACAGACAAAACAAATACATACCAATCTGTCAATTGCATTTTTGATAGCGTGGAACCAATCCAATATGATGAAGTCAATATCTGACTGTAGAAGGAACTCATTTCCTGATGCTGTTGTGATCTGAAAAAATAAAAATGACAGGTAACCAAACCAGATAAAATGGATCTCTTACATTAAAAAATGTATATATCCTTTTTCAAAAACACACTTCAATACATTGAAATATTTGCTTGTATTCCAGTAATTGTCTTTCTGGGAATTGGGAGACTAGGATCATTTTGAACTGCTCGCTATAAACTGTTTTCTCATGTCATAACAAATACATTATTGTTTTCATAATAGAACGATTAACTCAGAGTAGTTCTAAAGCTGAATTACTCCAACTCAAGGAGAAGCAAGCCAGGAAGTTCGGAACGATGCAGACAGTATGCACTTAAGTCAGAACCTTAGAAAAATACACCCGGGTGTGTCAGAATTCATTCTGCACTTTTGGCTCTTCCTGTTTGTCTTTTTCAAATCTAATAGTATCTTCATATTTGATTTCCTTTTATGGAGGGCTCTAAAACAGATTATTTATCAAAAGAGACTAAATGTAGCCTTTTGTAAGAGGTTATTCAAAGGAGTAACACTTGGCTCTTTCTACTTTCCTATCATAAAGATCTATAGGAAATGAATAAAGGACATATTTTCCCACAGAGTATATTAGAATAGACATTTATTTACATATTTGAACCTCTCACAGAGAGTATTTATCAAATGTACACCCCTGTTCCAGACACCCAGGGTTGTTAAATAGGTGGCAATATTTACCATGTAACTATGCATTTTCCATTTCAGTGAAGCTGAATTGTAAGAGAAGAGGGGGCCCTATAGAACCAGAGCAACGCTCTTGATTTCACACATAAAGGGCTTCTTCAAGAAGAATTTTATTAGAGTGGGTTTGGGCACGCTTTTTGCATTAGGCCATCAATATGAACTATGATTTTCCCTCTGTATTATTGACTTTTTGTTTCAACAGGAAGATGAACATTTCCCAACTGCTGTCACACATCAAGCAAGACTTTAGAGGTTTAGAGGACTGACATTTCCACACACTGAATTGGGAGCCGGTCACCTCTTCTCAGCCTTCCTTGCTCTCAATACAAGGTGAGCACTGAAATGTGGCACAGGTTCAGGAAATCACAAATCAAGCTTCAGCATGTCTCCATAATTCTATCATTAAAGTGACAATTATTGCCCAAAATAGCTCACTCTGAAGGGTTCAGTAATTCTTATGGCAACACTTAATAACAATGATCCCAGAGTGTTAAAGAAATCTTTGAATACACTCATACATAAATATTCATTTGCCATTTGTTTTTAGAAAAACTATATAGAGATGCAACATCACTCACTCCTGCAATGCATCCATTCCTAAGTGAGATGGAATCCAATGTTTTACAACTGTAATGAGAAGAACTATCCGAAGTGTATGCAATTATGAGAAGTGAAAGATTTGAAAATAAGAGGACATTAATTACTCACACTAGAATTTCACATATAACCTGGGTCAGTCACTCTTTTTTAAAATAAAATTGCATGTAAGATTTGGGATGGCTCAAAGTAGTCTCCAAATAGTCTTCTGTTTTATGTTTCTAGTAAAAGACAGTTAAGCTGATTCTTGCCTAATTATCTGAACACCCTTGCAGTGTTCTTTACTTACATAAAGTCCCAAATATTTACTTTATAAAATGTTGCCACAGAAATAGTAATCTAAAGAGTATAAGGTCACTTCTAACTAACCCAAGAAAACTAGTAACATCCTTGACCTCTACCTTCATCCTAATCTGAATGTAAATATTTTGATTGTGAATGGGTTTATATCACATCAGAATTTGTTAACATATTAAAAGAAACATGAATTAGCCCAAACATAATCTACAATATATTTCCCAGCCATTATAAATAAACCATTATTAAAATTATTAAAAGGGACATTTCAAAGTACAAGAAACAAACATAATTAGATTTACTATATTCTAAGGGTTTTAGAAAGAGCCAACATAGTTCAGTTTCTAGGCTAGTAAGTTCAAATAGTGATAAAATGTAAGTACTTAAGCATGCATTTGTATTTTTGGTGCATTCTGTGCCTCGCAAAGGAGATTTTTTCCTGCTAGAACAACCGAAAGCAAGAATGTAGTTTAAAAGTTTCTTTGTCCAAATATTTACTGTATTAATCATACATAATCATTGATTTATGAATTCTTTTTTAGAAGCTGGATCAGACAACTATATGAATGCAATTCATTCAAAACATACTACCAGAGAGATACAGTTCACATCCTTCCTCTGTCTTCCCGCTAATCTTTTGAGTTACTAGGCAGTCTGGAGAAGTCTGCTACTGCTCTCTACAGTTTAAATGCATCCACTTCTTAATTACAGTCAGTAATTGACTTTGTTCTGTTCCATTCCAGTCACTCACAGGAAGGCAGTTTCAAAGTCTTTGGCTGACTGGTAAGGCCCCTTCAGTTCCAGTTCTCAAACCACTTTTTTACATGACCTCTTTAGGTTTTCTGATAAATGATTTTCTGAATCATATTTGCACTTTGAACAATTGAGTTTTCAACACTCGGGGGAAAAAAAGACATCAGTAAAGAATGTTAGCTTTGACTGAACCTTTTGATTGAACAACTCTTGATGACAATCTAAAGTGATGTAGGACTAATAACAGACATAAAAGATTCAATATTAAGCCATATTAAAGTATTCTTTCTATATCATGTTTTGCTTAAGTGACAGATGCTCGGGTGAGGTTGCTAAAGAAAGACCTTACAGAAAATATGACAAATTTAGGCATGAGCTGCTGGTCTCCATTTTGCTTTGAATCCTCCTTTAGACAAATGTCTCTTGAAGTCCTTGCTATTCACCAAGTCTTATTTTGAAGGGATACATCCTAGCACCAAATCAGTCTTAATGAAATGTGCTGATGTTGTTAATAACATACCTTTAATTTCCTGTCTGGGGAAATTTGCCCAAAACATTTTCACACTAAAAGAGAGATCCATCTGAATTCTTGCTGGTAACAAACGTCTGGACATTTATATCAGCATATCCACTGGACAAATGTTTAACATATGAATTCCTTAAGTCTTCTGGGTATTAATTCAACAGTACTTTTCCCCTGGGCTAGGAGCTGTGGTCTGTGTCCTTGAGATGGTTCCTCTGAAGTTGGAGGCAAGGATATCCCAGCTCCAAACTCTACTGATCAGAGATGAGGAGAAATTTGTGTGTGTGTGTGTGTGTGTGTGTGTGTGTTTAGGCTTTCATGAATAAATCTAATATTTAATTTAAAAGATCTTAAAGAAATTTTAACAACTAGTGTTTACATTAAGTAAAGTCTTTCCCTTTTCAATATAGTCAGTTAACTATCACCAATGCCAATATGGATTCTGGCAGTTAGTCTTCCCCATGTTACATTTCAGTTTAAATGAGAAATTAATATATAGAATGGCATTTATACTATTAAAATTTTTCATGCTTTGGTTTATCGGAATAGAAAAATGTTTTAGAACTTCACATTTTTCCTTACTGTAAAAATAATTGAATTTACTATGGAGAATTTGGAAAAAATAAAGCAAGAAAAAGCAAATTAAACTTATACATAGATTCACAGAGTAAACATTGTAGACATTTTAATGTAGTTATTGCCAAATCTTCTATGAATAATAATCAGATAAATCCAGTAACTATCCATGGACAACTTTACACTACAGACAGGTATCAGTAAAACATATTTGGTGGTTGAATGTTATTGGCTACTTCTGTTCCAGTTGGCTCCAGCACATGGTGAGAGACTATTAAAGATGTAAGGGATAATGAGTGATATGTGTTCTCTCTTGCACAGTGGCACTCTTCCTATTGTAGAATCAGTCCCACAAATAATTCTTTGTTCCGGAGACTGAGAGGCTGTGTTTCTGACCAAACAGTGTCCTCATCCTCAGCAAGAACTATTTAAGCATCCATTAAGTGTAAGACACATTACTAGAAGCTAGGATACACAGCCCCCACCCTCAGGAGCTCACAATCTGTTTGGATAAATAGGACATATGCATATAAAGATAAATAACAATAGAAAATGTTTTACACTAAGTCCCAATGTGAGTGGCACAGACAATACTCATGTCAAGATTACAGAGGAGGGAGTAATTACCAGAGACACATTTACATCATGGAATTATGCATAAACTGTTGGTCATGATACGTTATTTGTTAAAGGTTGATTGTATCAGAACTTTAGTATATTAAGAATATGAATACTACCACTTGGTATGCAAAGTGAAATCAGCTTTAATGATCTCAAAGCACATAATAACATTCTTCAAATGCAGCTTCCCTCCACTATCATAAAGTAATTTTGCAAATGAAGAAAATGAACCAAATGAAGAAAATGAGAATGCCATTCTATCAAATTGGCATCATTTTAAATGATAGAATTAAGAGATTACAAAGATCTTGATTTCTAGTTCACTAGTTCTCAGCAAATAGTCATATACAGTCAAGGACTCTCTGCATGTGAGAAAGGACAGTGATGATTTCAGCTTTAGTTGAGAAATTTGGAATATAAACCTTAGGCAAAAGTTGCTTTTCTCTGTATTGTTATACTAAAAATATCACACTTTTAAAAGATCAGCCAACATTCTTACTCAGATGCTTCTTTCTTTCACTTCTTTCAAAAATGGCCACTATCCTACTATGAAAACATGTATCTACAACAGAATTGGGGCACCCAGAAAACTCCTTAGGGTTCCAGAAAGCATTGAAACAGTTCCATATTTGAACTAAATCTGTTTCATGTTTTTCTTAGGATCAATCTTTGATTATAAACCTAAGGAGTATTTATCTCACCTTAATGAAGCTGAAGTTATATATAGGAAATATATAATAAAGGATGTCAGATATCCAAAGAACCCTAAAAAATATTAAATGATGTATTACAAATAAGTGGATTACCCATTCAAGAGGAATGGAATTTAATTACTATTATGTTTGAAGACACTTTGGACTTAATAATAAAATAATTATATTTGAATTAAGTGGATATAAAAATAACATGTCAAAATATACCAAATGTATTTAAAGTA